CACATGCACATGTGTATAAGTCAGTGCTGGCTGTCTTCCTCTATTGCTCTCTACCTTCTTTTTTGAAACAGAGTCTCTCAGTGAACCTGGACCTCACCACTTCAACTAGACTAGCCGGCCAGCAAGCCCTCAAGATCCATTGATCTCCACACCAGTCCACACCCAGCAAGCACTGGCATCCACCACAGTATGCGCCTCCATGCCCCACCCTTAACATGGGTGCTGGAGATCCAAACTCAGGCACTCCCTTATGCTTGCACACCAAGCACTTTACCTACTCAGCCACCTCCCCAGCCTCAAAGAGTTAATTATAAAAATACAAAATACGTCGTTAATTACCGGATAACATGTTAAAATAATGTTTATATTGAAAGTTAAATAAAATATTATAAAATCAATCTCACCTACTTGTTTTTACTGTCTTAGAAGGATCTACTAGAAGACACAGGTGAGGAACATGCCTTGCATTGTACACCCCTCACCCCATCTAACCATCCCCCACCCCCAGTCGTGGCTACCCTGAAGATTTGGCTTCTCTCAGCTGCAGAAGCCCTGGCATGGCCTCCATCTTACAGTTTGGCCAAGAGATGCAGAAAGCTAGAAGGATCTGCTTTAAATCCTCCAGCTCACTACTGCCAGAGTCTAATATGGGTCTCCATCTTTCAAGTTCAAAGTAAAGCCCTCTTCCACCTGACTCTACTTCTCCACCTCTCTGAGCTCAGACGGTTGACTAAGTGCGCTCAGGCTCCTGGGTCCTGGAGTAAGGAAAGAGGTGTGTAGAAGCTGGATTCCGTGTGCTCCCATGGTAAAATTTTCGGTGACTCTTGCCAGCTCTTTGTTAAACAGGGAGTCTGGAATGGACCACGTGGGAATATTTACACTATGGGAATCTGAAAGTTCTACACCTCAGAGACTTTTTATTTTTGTCTCCTGGAAGCCATTTGCTGGTATACCACTGAGCGGGGAAAGTTAAACAGGGGGCTGGAGCTAGATTTGAAGAAACTGAGTGTTTTCGCTCATATGAGTTCAGGTCCTTTCTTTGCCTGCTACATGAGGGGGATCTAAGGCTGTGACGGGATCCCAACCTCCATTTTCCCACCTCTGGGCTCTGCCTCCTTGAAAATCTCTCCTCTACAGAGAGAGTATTGACAGAGCCCAGCAGACACAGACATTTATGCTTCCTTAGAAAGACCTCATGATCCAAAGCCACAGAGAAACCCTGTCTCGGAAAAAAAAAAGAAAGAAAGAAAGACAGAAAAAGAAATAGTATTCACACAAGTCCGCTTAGCCAGGTGGCAGGGAGCAAGAGAAGGGCGAAAGAAAGAAAGAAAGAAAGAAAGAAAGAAAGAAAGAAAGAAAAACCTCATGAATACAGTGTGTCCCCAGGGACCTCACCTTGGCCAGATAATCAGCCAGTTTGTCCCTGGCACCCTTGGTCTCTTTCAGCCCATTTACGAATGCTGTGTCTACCACCTCACACTGTCTGCGCAGGTCATTGGCCGTCTGGGACAGGATGCGGTCCACCAGGGTCTTCAGCGTCATCGAGTTGTTCCGCTGCTTGTCTGCCTTCTCGACATTGGCATTGGAAAAGTCCAGCCAGTCCTCCAGACTCACTGAGCTGAAACACAAGTTTCTCACTCGGACTGGGGTAGCAGGGGCAGCTCCTGAGTATTACTGGAAACTAAGCTACCTCCAATCCCACAAGTACTTGGATGTTTTTCCACCTCAACAGCAGTCAGTATCTTTGGAAACCTCCCGTGTCTGTGCCAGACACTGAGCTGGCACGCACAGACGTCACCTCATTTCATCCCCCAGCAAGCTTACGAAGCTACTTCTATGACTCCGACTTCACAAAGGAGAAAACAAGCCCAGAGAAGTGAATGAATTTGGCCAAGATCACACAGCTGAAGACAATTAAGTGTTGACACAAAAATAAAAGAGAAACAATAGTTACAACCTAGCACACTGAGTGAGGAGAAGCCGGGAGTTAAACAGATAGCTAGTTAGAAGAGGAACTGTTAGAAACTTTGATAAATAGTTTAATAAATGTTATTTGAAGGCTTGCTTTTGCTTTATGCGCAAGGGTGTTTTGCCTGCGTGTCTTTGCATGCATGCCTGGTGCCCACAGGGGCAAGAAGAGGGCATCAGATCCCTTGGAATTGGAGTTACAGATGACGGTAAGCCACCATGTGGGTGCTGAGAATAGAACGTGGGTCCTCTATAAGAGTAGTAAGTGTTGTAATTTAAGAAAAGTGGCACACAAGAGAAAGATGCCATGCAGCAGAGTTCGAGCAGAGTTTTTTTTTGTGTGTGTGGGGGGGGGGGGGGGGGGGGAGTGGAAGAGGGAAACCAGCCTCCAGGAACAGAAGGAGCAGGAGCGAGGAATAGAAAGGCAGAAAGAGAGAGAGAAAGACACAGAAAGAGAGAGAGAGAGGGGATGGGAGGTGGACCGGGCCCTTTTAAAAGAGAACATAATGAATATGCATAGGCGATGCTCTTAGTGACTGCAGCTGAGGGCATATCCTGTCAGAACCCCAAGTCAGGCTAGTACAGATGCCTGAATACTAACAGTAAGCACTCTTAACCACTGGGCCGTCTATCTGGTTTCCTAAAATATGTTATTCATAAACACACACCACAGAATGTATAGGCAAGCAACCCTATTAGGAGTCAAGAGAGTGTCTTCTTTGGGGGAGTAGGAAAAAAAAAAACATATTAGGCAGAAGGAACTGAGGGAGGCTGAGGTAAGAGAATCTCAAGTTTGAGGCCAGCCTGGGTTACATCAAAAGCTTTGTCTCAAGAATCAGAGGCAGAAGAAGAAGAGGAAGAGGAAGAAGGAGAAAGGGGAAGGCAGAAGTGTTTCTGTGGTAGCAAGGTGGAGGGTGTTCTTTCCCTCCGTCCTGGAGGACTGCCTGAGGCTTCTCCACTTTGTGGCTAGAGCCAGCCTCTGACTAGTCCCCAGAGTCCCTGTCTCCCTTGCCTTAAGGATGACAGCAAATTAGACAACTTTTTTCTCACAAGTCCAAAGATGAAATGTTGATTCTGAGACTGAGATAGAAGCTCGTGGCTTCTCTGGGATTCCTCTCCTTCCCACCTTTGCCTCTCTTTCTCTCCCGTCACTTGGGATGCAAGACACCAGCTTCCATGTCATGAACTGTCCTTGGAGAAGTTCATAAAGCCAGTAACTGGGGCCCACACCCTCACATGAGTCACATTGAAAGCCAACCAGTCCCCAGTGGAGCCTTCAGATGGGCACAGCCCTTTGACTTCCACCCAAGGACACCTTGAGCCAGGCTACCAGCTAAGCAGTGTCTGGCTTCTCAACCTACCCAAGGTCATGAGATAAGAACATTTATTATTCTAAGAAGCTAAGTTTGGGGGTACATATCTTTTATACATTAAAAAGATACTAATACAATGATAATTGTTGAACTTTGGATTTAGTATTTACGGTATGTATTCTATGTTTGTATATTTAATTTAAAAATCAGATATGAATGAGTTAGTTCTACCATATAACACTAATTGAAAAGTGGAAGTTAAGGGTCCAGTGAGATAGGTAAAACTGCCTGCCGCCAAGCCTACTGACCTGAGGGGATCCCCAGGACCCACTTGGTAGAAGGACCAACTCCCACAAGTTGTCCTCTATGTGCATCATAGAATGGGTAAGTTCTCCACCCTACACACACACACACACACACACACACACACACACACACACACACAAATGTATTTTAATACAAATTAAATGTTACACAAAAGTCACATATTTTTGCAAACTAAACAAAATGGATCCGAGTGTTGAATGTGCATGTGTTTCTGTGAATCTACAGTTAGCTGGTAATCTTGGAAAAGGACCCATGCAGGAAGTTATTATCCATTCATTACGACAGTTTTAACAATTCCACTTGTTAAAGACATAAATAGATGAAGGAATACATTGTAAGTCTTTGGACATACTGTACCAATCTTTCTTAAAGTGAGAGAAGGCTCTGGCCAGGGGCAAGGTAAAACCGTTCAGCAGATGCCTCGTCCCAAGCCCCCTGGCTCTGAGGGACTACAGGATGCATCCCTTCCTGGCCCTGTCAGACTGAGAAGGCCCGGATATTCCCAGCTCCACCTAGACCAGCCTCAGGGCCCCACTCACTTGGGTTCGATTCTCACAACATCCTCAGAATATTTGATATTTGGTGAGTTATTGTTGAGTGAGAAGCAGATGTCGTCGATAGTTAGGGCCACAAACTTATCCTTCAAATCCTTTTCCAAGTTGTACTTGGCAGAGCGGTTCAGCCTGAAGGAAGAAGGCAAACCGGGTTTCTCTCTTGGGAAAGGCCTGGTGACTCCTGCAGGATCAAGGGAGGCCCTGGAAAACGAAGCTGAAACTGGGTCTTTCAGTATGACCTCTCCTTGCTCCCCACTTCCATGTCCCCAATGCACATACATGCCATTTGATGCTTGGAGACCAAGCCCTTAGTTGAAAACTGTACCAAGGATACAAAGGACTCCCAGTGAGATGGCG